GGGCAGAGGCCTTGGCACTTGTCCACTGTGCCAGGGGGCCCCTAGGTGGGCAGCACAGCTCTTCCCCCAATTCCCAAAGCTCTTCGTCCCCCGTGGAGGGGCAGCTGGGAGGGGGCCCTGTGTTTGGAAGTTACCCTTTCTCTCTGGCATTAACTCTAAGACTTCCTCATTTAACAGGACACAAGTCTCAGCAGAACTGGCAAGAGTGATGTGCAGCCAAAAAGCTGGCAGGGAAAGCTGAGAAAGCTGAACTTTCTGGCCTTCTCGGGATTTTGCTGTCAAATTGACTGTTTGGAAATCTTGGAGGAGAAAGAAGTGTACAAATGGAACCCAAGTCCCCAGGGCCCAATCTGTCCCAGATAATCCTTACTTGGGCTTCCCTGTGGAGGTCTTGCTTGGTGGCTGAGGGGTCTTGATTAGCTTCTGTGGCCTCAAGTTCCAGGGGTCCCAGCAGGTGCAGTAGATGAGAGGGTTGGGGTACATGGCAGGAAGCCAGGGACAGTCTTGGCTGCTAGGTCAGGAGGCTCTTGCTGAAATGCTAAAACAACAACAGAGAGTTATTCCACTCAGAGTCAAGACAAAAATACTTAAAGACAAATTGGGAAGGACCCAGGGAAGGCCCAAAGCACAGATGGCAGATTCTGGAAGCTGCTGAGTGGGTGCAGGGCCTTGGCTATAGAACAACGCCTCATCCCTGCCAGTCAGTAGGCTTGGCTTGACAGTAACTTAAAATTTTCTGTGTTTGAGAGCTTATTGTGAGCCAGGTACCCATAGTAAGTGATCATTTATTATTATCCCAATTTTTCAGATGAGGATACTGAGCTCAGAGAGGTCACAGAGGTAGCATGTTACAGAGCTGGAAGCAGACACGTCTCCTTGTCACCTACACCCTTGCTCTTCCATCAGCCCACAGTAGCTCTCACTGAAGTGAAGAGAAATCCCTCCAGTAGGTCTTGCACAGAACTTCCTGGAAAATTAGCCTTGTTACTCAAATTATGGTGCAAGTGATCCTCCCTGTTTCTCCTTCCTGGTCACATGCCTGAGTTACAGATCAAAACTTCCTTCTTGGCTCCATAAAAACAAAACCAAAAATCTCCATTACAAAGTTCTGCATGCAAGACAATATCAGAAAAATGTGGAGGTTTGACCACACTTGTTTTTCTTCTTTCTTTTCCAAAACCCCATTGAAATGAGAGTACAGGACTGTGAGATAATAGAAAATACATGCATTGGTCTTTGACCCCAGTTCCTGGCATAGAGCTCCCCAAACCCTTGTAATTTCCTAAATGATAAGAGCCCTAGGACAGGAGCATCTTTGGTTCTAATGAGGCAGCTCTGGGTGGGCTACTGAATGGGGCTGGTCACCAGAAAGAGCAAGTCATGATTGAAAGCTTGGAGTTTTCAGCTCCACATCCCCTTCCCCAGAGAGGGGAGAGGGCTGCAAATGGACTTAGTAGATAATCATAAGGAAGCTTCCATAAAATCCCAGAAGTGTGAGCCTCAGAGAGCTTCCAGGTGGGTGAACACATGTGCACCAGGAGGGTGATGCCCCCCAGCTCCACCAGGACAGAAGCTCCTGTGCTCAGGACCCTCCCAGGCCTCACCCTATGTATCTCGTCACCTGGTGGCACATCTGCTCCTTTATCATATCCTTCAGTAAACTGGTAAATGTAAGTGTTTTCGTGAGTTCTGTGAGCCACTCTGGGAAATTAACTGAACCCAACAAGGAGGTCAAGGGAACCTCTGACTTATAGCTGGTTAGTCAGAAGCACAGGTGACAACCCCGACTTGTGGCTGGCATCTGAAGGAGGCCAGTCTCATGGGACTAAGCCCTTGACCTGTGGGATCTGATGCTAACATCAGGTAGTGTTAGAACTGCGTTAAATTGTGGGACCCCCAGCTAGTGCTGCAGAGAATTGCTTGGTGGGGGAAAAACCCCACCTGGGTTTTGGTGTCAGAAGTGTTGTGTAAATAAAAGAGAAACATGGAAAGAAAAGGCTGATTTTCCTCAGTCTAGGATTAAAAGAGGTTTAACTCCACAACCACAAAGAGAGTGGGGAACAACATTGCATGCTGATGTCAGTACATGTTTGGCACAAATTATTCCCTCACTTAGCACGTCCTAGGAAGCTACAGCCTACATGCCCACAAAGGGAGTACAAACCAGCAGGAGCTGATTCCCAGGTCAAAGGCCCTCAAAGACTCAGAATTTGTAACTGCTAGATTGTGTGATGATATTGAGAGGCACTTGGCAGGTCTGTTGGAGCAGGTGATAGGTTGAAAAATGCTCCCTCTCCAAACATGTCCACGTTGCAATCCCTAGAACCTCTGAATAGTTACCTTCCAAGCCAAAAGGGGCTTTGCAGCTGTGCTTACGCTAACCATCTTGGGAAGGGAGCTTATTCCAGATTATCTGTGTGGGCCTGAGGCAATCACAAGCCTCCTTGTAAGGTGGGAAGGTCAGAGTCAGAGAAGAAAATTGTCTGTGGAAGAAGTAGGTGTGATCGAGGAGGGGCATGAGCCAAGGCAGCCTCTAGAAGCCAGAAAGACAAGGAATGACCCCCCCGGCCCGCCCACAGAGCCCTCCAGAAGAGCAAAGTCCTGCCAGCACCTTGGTTTTAGGCCTGTGAGAAAGATGTCAGACGTCTAACCTCAACACCGTAAGATAATAAATTGCTGTTGTTTTAAGCCACTACGTTTGTGTGGTAATTTGTCACAGATAATTTGTAATAGCAAATGAGGATTTGGGGGAAAATTAGCAATAAAGACATAGAAACCTAAGGAAATAAAAATTGCAAAATTACTTCAGGTTAAAAAAATATTGCATAGAAAGGAAGCATAATCACAGTGAACATTGAACATATTAATGTAAACACTTGGTAGTCATTTACCTAAAAAGTGAATCGTGACTACACTGGGAGATTTGGGGAGTGGGGAAGGAGGCTATGTAAGTGGCAAATCCTCATCTACCGTACCGGGAAGTCAAGAGAGGATGCCTAAAACTGGAAAATGAACAAGTGGAGTAAAGGCAAATTATTCGGAAGTATGAAGTTAAATCCAAAAGAAATGCCTGAGAGAGTTAAAAATAATTGCTTTGAAAGAACATGCTGAGGAGTAGAAGTGAGAAGCAAGGTGGGGTGGAGCAGAAATTGTAACTTTTAATTAACAAAGTTTTTAACACAATTTGACTTTTGAACGATGTCAGATTATTTGATAAAAAAATTAAAACTAGTGCCAAAAAAAAACCTAGTGGAGAATCAATAGAACAACAGAAACATTACAGTGACAGCAGATTTAACTCAAATTTCCAATGCAGAGATTGGTTTTCAATAGAATACTGGAATAAATTTGCTTAAGAATCAGCTGAAAAATGAAAAAAGCCTTTTTTCTATAACATAACTGATGCTTGGGAAATGCAGTTACATGGTCTAATAACTTTTAGATCTAAGGGGGACTTAACATTGAACCCATTTTACAGATGAGGAAACTGAGACTAGAAATGCCATGACTCCTGGGCTACCTTTAAATGCTCACTGAAGAGCAATAATAGAAGCTCGTGCAATTAGTCTTGTGCTAGAAGCTGCAGGACACTGGACACTTGCACCTCGCCCCCCGGGTGCTTGCAGTCAGTAGGGTAGTCGTCAGGAAGGGGGCTGAGTTAGCTGTGGAGCTAGGGAGACAGACCCGGACTTGAAGGAAAGCAGAGTGTGCTTGTGGAGGCGGGTGCAGGAGGGGCTCAGGCCCAGGGTGCTGTGTGGACTACAGGTCAGGGCTAGAAAGGAGGCCAGGAGACTGAGTAAACAGCTAAAGCCTAGTGACCGGGGGCGGGGAGGGGGGAGCACCTTATCTAGCTGTCCTCACTCTGCTGCACTTGGGGCCCTGGTCAGGAGATCTCAGGAGATGAGGTAAGGGAAGCAGATGGTATAGAGCACCCCAAGTGAGAAGATAACGCCACAGAGGCTAGGATTCAGTGGGAGTCTGAAAAGAGGTTGTAGTGGTAGCTAGAAAGGAACTTTTGCTTGGGACACTGTGTCTGCCTCTGTGAGAAAAGGGCTAATCCTGAACCTGGGGACGTAGCAGGGGGTCCCTGGGGCAGGAAGTGAGAGGCTAAGACAGGCTAGCTCTCAGCACTGCCTTCTCTATTCCATTTCTTGCCTGCCCAACGTGACTGTGTGATTCTTGAAGGCCAGGACTCCACCGTGTCATTCTCTGTGCTCCCAAGGAGCCTGGTGAAGCAGCTTGTCCGCAATGGGTATTTGATTAACAGTTGTTGCCTGGCTAATACACTGGGTGGCTGTAGCCACAGGATTGGCTCAGCAAGGAGAAAAGAGATTCACAGATGAAACTGCAAAGATAAAATTATCGGTACGTATTATAGATAATATTAAAAATCAGGATTAAAAAACCAAAATGCCTGGGCAAATTTTGGTACAGCCAATCAATGCAGTTTTATGTACATTTTAATTGACCATTTTAAAGCCAATAGAAACAAGGAGAAATGCTTAAGAACAAACACATAAATGGTATATGTGCAACAGATACAATTATATAAAAGTTTGTAGCTATATGGACAAGAGTTAGAAAAGAACATATTAAAAAATGAAAATGGGGCCAGAATGTTAGGATTATGATTTTTTTTCCTCCACAACATTTTTTATGAAAGTTTTCCTTGGGCTTTGGAATCAGATGGGCCTGATTTTGCTCTGTGGGAACTCTACCTAACAGCTGTGGGACCTCAAGAAATTTACTTTTATCTTTCTGAATCTCAGTCTCCTCATCTGTAAAATGGGGACATGGGAGCTCACGCCTCATTGGGCTGTCAGAAACATGAAATGAGACTGTGTCAGGAGAGTTCTTAGCACATTGTCTTGAATACTTTAGTTTCCTAAAACCTGGTAATTGAGTTTAGGAATATTATGAACTCCAGTGGCATTTTTGTATACATAAGCTCTTTTTTCTAAATTTTTGGAGAATAGGTCTATTTTAGTGGGTGTTAAATTGAAATTTACAAAATTCTTTTGTAAAGAAAATCATAAATGCAGTAAGTTAAAATCCTCCAAAATACTAACACTTAAAGATGAGCACTGAAAATATTTTGGTTAATGTCTTCTAGAATTCTCTCTGGTCTAAAACAATAGATTTATATTATTTCCCATTGATGGGAACAAACTGTACATACATTTTAGGTATTCTTTTCTTCAACCATGTCATGAGCTTCTTTTAATGTTGACAACTATACATGTCATCATTTTTCAAACTTAAATTTACTGTGAAGAAATTTTTTGAATGTACAAAAGTAGAGAAAACAGTATAATGAACTCACCCATCACTTACCGTCAATAATTAGCAATTTGTTGACAGCAGCTGCACTAGTTGGGATGAGGATTTAATAATGGGTGTAACTGATGAATCACTATATTATATATTTGAAACCATTATATTATCATCAACTATACTTCAATAGAAAAAAATCATGTAAACAAGTAGCGATTGTGGCTAATCTCATTGAACTATATACAGCCTCCTCTTCTAACACTAGAGTATTTTAAAACAAACCTATAACTGAAATTGTATTTATGGGAAATCTTTAAAACAAGTCTGGGATTTGTTTCTGTATCGTCATGACTGTATACATTTCTAATCTATAAGTGTACCCATTTATATTTTTAGCCAGTTTTGTATTGATGAACATTTAGTTGTTTCCTTTTTATCCTGTTATAAACAATGCCTTGGTGTATGTTCTTTTACTCTTAATAAGAAAGCCCTCTCCCTCCAAACTACAAACTCCCTCCAAACAAGAGTTACCCAGTACGACAAGGCTATTGAACAATCAGAGCAGACATGGGCTCCAGGGCTAACGCCACTCCTATCCCCATGCAAGGCATTAATCTCTTAGTTGCCAAATCATGAGGCAGTCTGGGGGTGCCAGGGGAGGAGCTGGGGCAACCAAGGTGGCAGGGATGACATTTGAGGAGCTGGGAAAATGTCACTGTACAACCAGTAAGGTGGTGTTTCTCTACTTCCAGTACTGTCCCAAGAGGGAACCACTGTTAACAGCGTTTTTGGGTATCCCTCTAGAAATGTTCTATGAATATATATACACACACGTGTACATAGATATATATATACGTGCGTGTATATGTATGAATATTGTTTTTTTACATAAACAAGAATATACTTCACACACTACACTACCATGTCTTGCTCTTTTTACATAACAGGAGGTCTAGTAGGTATTTCCACATCAGCAGAGAGATCTATAGTATTCAGTGACTTGATGTTGCACTGTGTGGCTCTGACAATATAGGGGTGTGTGTGCTTGTGCATGTGCACATGCGTGTGATTTAGGATTCTTTCTCTCCATTCTTTCCTTTCCTGTATCTCTCCCTGGCAATTTTACCTGAGGCTCAGTGGACTGAATGTGCCAACCGGTGACCCTGTAGTCACCAGCGAGCCAGCTGAGTCTTCAGAAAGGTCACCGGTTAGTATTAATAACCATAAGAAATAAATATATAAAAGATCTTTTCCAAAGAACTTACCTTGGACTGCCCAAAGATTTGTTTCTCGCATGTGTTTCCTTTCCAAGTCAGGAGTCTTAAAGGCACGATAATGTTGCAGAGAAACTGTTTCCCATCTACACAGAATCAGAATTCATTTTAGGTCAAATCCAGAGGTTCAATTACTTGAGACTTTAGTGGCCATTCCAAGTGACTGAAAATCCACAATATGTATGGTGCACAAGAATTACCGTGAGTGCAGTCAGAGGCTTTTACAAAGGCTGAACTGGCATGAGCATGAATTTCCCTCCTGAAGACATTCCAGTTTGAGTCTTTCAGTATTGCAAACCAAGTCAGACTCCATTCACTCTTGACTCGGGCCTTGAGCTGGGAGGTTTGTCCTAGGAGGGAGATGGTTTGTTTCTTTTATTGCTATGGAAACAGAATGGCAGCACCCCATTGGCTCAAGCACTCTGCTCTTAAAGAGAGAAGGCTGGAGAAGCAGCAGTGAAGAAATTCTCCAAGACCTGAGATGAAATACGCTAAAGATACACTTTCAGTGGCAGCTGAATTAAACAGCACTCCTAGGCTTAATTGGCCTATGCCAGTATTTGACAGACAGGATCTGTGATGGATTTTAATCTCCTTGGTCATTTGCTCACAGAAACCTAAAGCTCTAAAGTAGGTAATTTCTTCCTTCATTTTCAGGCATTGAAATCTGTAAAAAAAAAATAGTACAAATCCCCCAGGGTGGGAGTCTTTTTTTCACCAAGGAGTTCGGATTTTTTTTTCCTAAATAAAGCTGCTTTTTCTCATTATAGAAAAAAGAATGCTTGATTATAGACCAGTGGTTTTCATTTTAATTTTACCATAACTCAGTGTAAGAAATATTTTATCCATTTTATAATAAAAACTTGCATGAAATAATACTTATTACATTCTCATCTATTTCTTTTTCTTCTATTTAAAGTGAAAGCTGATTATAAATCCACTGGATTGATTTCATGAGCCACTGATGGGTCACAACCTATAGTTTACAAAACACTGTTATGAATTCATCCATTCATTCTACTCTATATTTATTATCTACTGGGTGCCAGGCACTGCTGTGAGATGAGGGGGTTGGGTGGGGGTGGACCTCCATGGAGCTTAGAGACTAGTA